AGCGCCTCCTGCGCCGGGGGCAGAGCGGGCGCCCCGAGGGGAGCTCCGTGTCCTAACGTCACGGTCAGAAAGGGACCCCGGCAGCTGGATCCATCCTAACTGGGAGGCGCGTTTGTATTGGAGATGTGCGTCGGCAAACTTCACTCTGTTTAACTTTGCGTTTCCCGGAGGTGAGACTGGGCTCCGGCGCTCTGCAGGCACAACCCCACCGTGTGAGAGGCCGTCAGGCTTTCAAACGAAAGGAATCTGGCGGCACACACGCGGATGAGTTCCCAAATCACACATTCTGCCCTTATTTTCCACTTTCTAAGTGGAAGCGACTTAACAGCGTCTGCAGCGTTTGAGCTGAGCACGCAGATTCAGGTTGTCACATTGGGCAGCCCCGACAGTTTTGAGGGGTGAGGGCAGGGGAGAGTGTGTGATTCTCGAGCAAAGCCTAATGAGAACCAGCAAACGGGCACGGTGTAGACAGCTTTCACTGCGGGTAACTGTTAGAACTGTCAACAGGAGGAAATTTTGACTAGTGGATCCAGGGTTTAAACCTTAATTTTGTTCTAATGATAATGGTTGAAAATTTGCTCTTCTGAGCAGCTCAGTGTGTTGGTAGGGCTGAAACGATTTGGGGCTTCATAAACTCTATGGAGTTTATTTCTACACCGCAGACCTGTTAATTCAGTAGCCTAATGTACGTGGCTTTTCTTGCTCTTTCTTCCCCCAGAGCCAATCTACGTTCCATTCCTCATTGTTGGATCAATATTTATTGCCTTCATTATCGTGGGCTCTCTGGTAGCGGTTTATTGCTGCACATGTTTAAGACCTAAACAACCGTCGCAGCCGATACGTTTTTCTCTGCGGAGCTATCAGACGGAGACTCTGCCCATGATCCTGGCCTCGACAAGCTTCAGGACGCCGTCCAGGCAGTCCAGCACCGCCACAAGTTCCAGTTCGACCGGCGGCTCGGTTCGCAGGTTCTCCTTTCCCCGGGCAGAGCCGGGGTGCCTCGTGGCATCGCCACCCCCACCGTACACTTCTGGCTGCTTCCAGACAGCCCATGCCGTCCACCTCGCCCAGCCATCGGGATTTCTGGTGTCCCCGCCGTACTTTGGGTATCCTCTCCAGCCAGAGCCTGCCCTGGCTGGGAAGAGCTGCTCCGATTTTAGTCAGAGCTGCAAGGAGCTGTGAAGAAATAACGCAGCCTTCCGAAGCGCAGGGACTGGTGTTGCTGGGTGTCGTGCTGCCATGCTCTGGGGTTGCAGAAGTCAAAATCATTCCCATGGGTGAGTTGCCCTTGAAAAGTGCAAGGTCTCATTTGGGATCTCGTTTCCAAAACGTGGATCACACTTAAAAATGAACTGTGAAATGTTCCAAACAGTTGTTCCAAAACCAGACTCCTCTGATCCTCTAATTTGTGCAGAACGTGCTCAGAGACAAGTAGAAAAAACCATTTTGGGATAAAAGGTACTCATTTCATGGCGTTATAAATGACATTTTAACCCTAAATACTGTTAACTTAGCTAACAAATGGTGTCTGAGTTCCACTGACAATAATCAGACAAGTTTTATAAAGCAGCAATAAGCCTGAGAAGTAAGAGAGAAGTAATACTTACTAAAGAGGATCCTGAATACAGCTGACTGCTTTCCACTTCCGTGAGCAATGAAAATATGAAGAAGAGTTTTACTACAGATATAAAAATGTGTAGGTTTTAAAAAAATACACATGATATACCTGAACTTACACTGCATATTTGTATTAGTAAACATTAACCATGATAGATAAAACTAGTACTAATTAGACTAGTTGAAAATAAGCCAATCCCAAGCAGCTAAATAATTATCTATGAGAAGAGCAGAATGTATTCAGCAATATCACTAATAACTTCTCTGCATAAAATTCTAGAAATGGCATTATATTAAAGCATTTTTCAGAAGAACGTATTTATTTTTGGCTTTTTGCTCAGCAACGTATGTAAGTTGGACAAACTGATCATAAAGTTCTATTTGTAAAATTAGCCATGTATAAAATGTAAAGACAAGCTTGTAATTTAAAATGTATTTACAGCATTGACAACACTAATTATTTAGTAGTCACACACACACAAAATGATCAATAAACTGTGTGATTGAAATGTTGTGTCATCTGTATGTCTCTGTACAGATAGTGTTTGATGAACAAGTTTTCCCTTTGATGTATTTTTTCATGTCAAAAATAGTTATTTTTGCTTTTGTAAATGAGTTACACCTTTGTGCACCTGTTGTGCAGGTTTAATATAAAATTCTGACTACATGGTGAACAAATGGATCAATTAACGTCTTTTATATGCAGCTGTGGTAAAAATGTGGGAAAAACTACATTGATTAGTTGGGTATTTTAACTTAAAACATCTTGCTCTAGAAATAAATTTTGTTTGCCCTTCTGCATTCCTTCATCCAAGTAAACCAACGAACCAGACGGAAGAAGAAAAAAAAAATGCATCTAAACCAAACACATTCAGCCAGCAAATGGAATATATACAAGAAAAAAAAAAAAAGCAGTCATTAAAGGGCACTCTGTATACTAATTTTTATGGAAAACAAAGTAATTTTGTGTGTCAGAATCTACAATATCAGAGGCTGAGCCTTTTTATGTTACCTATTTTATCATCCCCAAACTCCCTGTGTCTAGGCTCTGTTGAAGCACATCATACCTCACCCACTTTACATGTACTAGCGTATCAGTTCATATTAATATTACAGCATACCTCTGGATTTTAGGATTGGATTTTAGAACCTCATTGGTTCTTCATCAAGGGTTGAATATTTTTTTTTTTTTCTTAGCAAATATCTAGCAATCAGTGTCTTAGCATTTATGAAACAAATCTTTTTAAATAACCTGTTTAATATCATTTTCATTGCATAATTAACATTACAGTCCATCAGACGTTACTGCTGGAAATGTGGTTTCTAAGCAGAAAGACCACTTAAGTTGTATACAATGTTTTGATGAATAGGCTTTGGCTTGAATGTTGTAATTGTTAATTAAAGACTAAAATCATGATACACAGTAGTGTATATGTTTTATAAATATGTACAAAGTAGATTGCAAGTAGCCGGGAAATTAATTGAAGGGTGTTTTGCCTTGCAGTGTTTTTTAGAAACAATCATCAAGGAAAGTGGGCGTGAGGGGGTAAAGTTTTCCTTACCTTTGCTGATGCTTCACAGGGCTCTTTTCACTGCATATTTTGAATGGATAAGAAATAGGGGACTGTTCATGAAGTAACTTTTCTTAAAAATAGTTTGAAATTGCAACAGATATCAGCACTGTTGTTTGGAAGCATCCTGCGAGATCAGCTGAGCATGCCTGTTTACAGCAGAAGCAGATAGTAAACCAATTAAACTATTTTTTTTATAAATCAAAGTGTTTGATTAGGAGAAATCTTTATCTGGTAAACCAAGGCAACACAGATCCTCCTGCAATCAGAAACTATCACTTTTAGCTGTGCAGGTGCAATTGTATGAACATTGGAAGAGTTGTCAGAGCTGCCTCCACAGGTGGTGGGTTGCTGAAATTTGGTGTTTTCCTCCAAGGTAGGCTGTACACAGAGAAGCCATGAGTTGGACTCAGTTATTGTCTGTTAATGTTTGGTGGTGGATGCTGAACAGGCCGGACTTCTTCACCATAATGGTCTCAGTGGACTCTACAGTCAGATTTATTGATGTTTTAACATAGGAACAGATTTTTGCTACCCTTGTGTACAGTCTTACAGATTTTAATGACTATTCAGCCTAAGTAGAGGTTGTGCAGTTTGCCATGTAGTGCGAAACTTGGCCTAGCCGGGAAGACTCCTCTGAGCTACTTTCTTTCCTCCCCCTGATGCTGCATAATGGGGTTTGACCTCCTAAAATGCTTGAAGAACGTGACACACAGGAATAATTTAATTGAATCATACTTAGAGAAGTCTGTAAGTTTATTATAGAGTGCTAAGCACTTCACAGATTGGTGGTCAGAGTGCAGCAAATCCTGCAAGTGAGGGTCTAAGGCTGGGCAAGATCAGGTGCAGTTAAAAGAGCTGTACTGGGTTACCTGTAAAGCAGGTGAAGTGGGGATTATGCACCATCTGCAAAGAAAGAGACAAAGAGGAAGCTCTGCGTTAAGAACCTATAAATTATTGTTCATGCAGCTACGGTGGCAGTGACCTATATAGCTGAAGGGAGAGGAAGGGAGGTGGACAGAGTACAAACCCACAGACCAAAGCACTTGTTGCCTGTGCCAGTAGTTTCCAGCCAGATGGGTTCAGTGTGCAGGTGAGAATGTGGAATTTCCTTCCTAATGAAAAGGACCTATTGGCACTAGATGCTCCTACGATTTATAGAAAATAGTAATTTTTCTAAAATTTGTAGACAGAACACAAATAGCATTCTGATAGTTTTAATGGCTAATGAAACAGTTTGAAGGACTAGATGTGTGCTTCAACTCAAAAGAAATTCCTTGCTATCAGAAGTAACATTTACACAGTATTTGCTTTACTGCCATGCTTATTACTTAACACAGTAGGTTTATTTATTTTGTAATAATGAAGCGAGTTCATACCAATTTTACTAGAGTGTCACCAATCTAAAATAAATCAAAACGAAACAAAAGTCACAGTAAATTATTGTCATTCGCACACATTACACACAAAATGCTTTGATTGCCATTAACTGGTAATGACAAGTCTGAAACCCAAGCCTTCTGTGGGCAACTAATAAGTGACGTGAATTAGATCAGCCATTTGTTTTGTATTTCTGCATTTTGGGTTTCTTAAGCCTGTATCTCCAAAATGCATCAAAACTCTTCGGTGCTAAGAAAAACATGAGACGTATTGCAAGAATGAAGGATTTTATTTGAAACTAGTTAAGTGGAATGGTATATGGCTATGTAAACTCCTGGACTGTTTGTAATACTAATCCCACTGGAATTAAAAAAAAAAAGTGACAAATTCTAAATCGGTTTGCCACTACCGTTCAGTTAGAGCTCGACAGTAACTTTAAGGCTATGGAGTCAATTTTCAGCGCTGCTTTTTCTGTGCATTACGATGTGCTCTGTGGACTTGATACTCTGAACAAAGCTGCTGCTTTTGTGGGGGCAGCTGCTCCACCACGGTCATGTGAACAGTTTTTCATTTGCAATTACATTGAGGCTGTAATTCCATGCTATGCTGTCTTCATTAGCCCAGGCAGAAGAAATGCCCTTCTGTTGTTTTTATTCTCTCCATCTATGACTTGTGCAACTTCAGGGTGCTGTGGTGTAAATCAGGTTAGTGATTTAGTTTAAGAATCAAATTTGCTGTAAGAAAGAAGAGAAAGGATTTGAAAGGGTTCCTGGATCATTATAAACTGGATTATAACCTGAATAATTTCAATGGCCTCATGACTGCCAGCGTAATAGAGGCAGTAACATACTATGAGGTGGAATCTCCTCAAAAATGCGGTACCATTAAAGACTGGGCATCATGAAAACTAAGGGAGTGAAAGATGCATCTGTTATTGAACTTGCCTTGAAGGAATAAAAAAATCTACAGAATAAATTAATTGTCTAGTGTTTATATAAACAATCAGTCACCTATCTACAATCACATTTCAGTTTAGGTTTGGATATATTGATTTTTATTCAGGGGATGTACACTGTTAGTGGAAAGAAATGCCCACTACTATCATAGCCAAAGGATACAGTATTTGTCACTGTTCTCTGAAAAAGGAGATGAAGTTTCCTTATTCCAACCCTGTTATTCTTATACCACTTTTTCAAAATACAGTATCAACACCAGAGTATGTTAGGGTTCTGCTGCAAATCACTCAATTGCAGGCTCCCTTACTCCCCTGCCTTTTTTTTTTTTTCCTCTCTTTCTCCCAAGAAAACGTTTTCTGGAATGCACATGGGAACTGAAAACAACATCTCAAAATACACGTTTAAAAAAACCCTTAAAAACATTTCCCACTTTTTCAGTTTACCTTAGTAATAAGAATTCTCTGATATGCCTCAATTTAAAGAATTCCAAACTGAGTGATACATTTTCCTTTGAAAGTAATCCCTAGAGCATTTGCAACCAATCAGTTCAACAAAGCTTGTTCATTTAATGGCAAAGTTTATTCATTTTTTAACAATTAAAAGACAAAACATTTAAAATTCGCAGTTCAAAACATGCACGTTCACCAAATGCCAAATG